CACTTGTCGTTGAAGCATCCAAAACGTAAACTTGCCTATTTTAAAAGCATTCAGCATCAAAGATTTGTCGTTGTCATATTGCCCTCGGAAGAGGACAAGGAACCTGAAACCACAGTACCACAGCACTACTCATTCACTATTCAATATTCATGCAAGCAAACTATGATGGAAATTGCCACAAGTTTATCTTAAAGACGTAATGTGTTCCCCTAAAACATAACACCTGTGGAAAGTTACAAAACATCTTACATCGTGTATTAACGTATATTCGTTTGACGCCGTTACGTGAGTGAGTGAGTGAATTTGGTTTTACGCGGCGTTAGCAATATGCCAGCAATATCACGGGAGACACCAAAATGGGCTTCACACATTGTACTCATGTAAGGAATCGAACCCGGGTCTTCGAACAAACGCTTTCAACACTAGGTTACCCGCCTAAGGGATCGAAGCACAGGATAGAAGGAGCATGATGTTAATCACTGCATTGTCTGGTTCCGACATGTACACACCGCTATCATATACAAGGATTATTCAAGCAATCAATGTTTGCCGTAATGGCTACGATGGACAGACAGATTAAATGGCACCAACTGACTGTTTCTCACCAGTACAGATGTTCCTCCGCCATAACCTGCATCGCCTGAGCTACTCCTTTGTCAGCAGGACTCAGGTTCCTGTTGAGGTCCACTCCAAGCTTCTTGTTGAGGAACTCGATGCACAGTGTAGAGTCTGCTACTGCCTGTCCATTATACTCAATCCAAGGAACTTTGCCTTTTGATGAAGGTTGAAACCCATGGACGTTCTGTGTGGAGGATCATATTTTCATATAGAGATCAGACACTTACATGGCTAAGGATTAGAGTGATTCATAAAGGATTTAGGGTATTAGTGCTTGATCCAACTGAATATGTGTTTTGTGCAACAGCTAGGGGTATGAATCGCTGCTCATGCAGTCACCAACTTGCTTTCTTGGACCAGATTCAGAGTGGGTGAGTGTGAATATGGGATTCACCCATGAGGGGAATAGAACCCGGGTCTTCAGCGTGACGAGTGAGTGAGTGAGTGAGTTCTACGCCGCACTCAGCAATATCCCAGCTATATGGCAGCGGTATGTAAATAATCGAGTCTGGACCAGACATTCCAGTGATCAACAGCATGAGCATCGAGCTGCGCAATTGGGAAGCAATGACATGTGTCAACCAAGTCTGCGAGCCTGACCACCCGATCCCGTTAGTCGCCTCTTACGACAAGTATGGGTTACTGAAGATCAGTATTCTAACCCGGACCTTCATGGGTATTCGGCGTGACGAGCGGACGCTACTAGATTCCGATATGTGGTGACACAATGAGAATATTGCGAACTACGGCATGAAACAACGCTCATTCACTCATCTCTCACCTACCTGGTAGGGTATCTTGGCCATCCGGAGATAGGTCTCCAGCTTCACCGCAAATGGCGTCAAGCTTGGGGCGTAGGGACCTCTACCGACCTGATAATGGATCACCGTATCTCGAGGATAGTCCTTCTTTGTCTTTTTCTCTCTGTAAAATATTGTAATAGATCAAGGAACAGCTGATTATTCTCACTTGTCGCTGACATAACTTAAAGTATTGTAACCCAGTCATTGTACGACATACACTGTGTTATTTAGTGTTCCATGATTTTAAACCGATGTGCTACTGTTTTAAAATAGTACAATGGGCCGCTTCCGTGGTGTAGTGGTTAGAGCATCCGCCTGGAGGGCGGGAGCTTGCGGGTTCGATCTCCGGCCACATCATACCAACATGCGTTAAAATATGGTACTTGTTGGTCCCTGCCTGGCGCTCGGCATTAATGGGTACAACAATGACTGGTCGGCTCGGAGTCAGTATAATGTGTCTGAGTTGTGTATTCATGCTTAACTACGGCATGGCATGTCAGTGAGCGAGCACTATAAAACCAGCTTAAATCTGGGCTAGTACAAGCAGCCGGAATGCAGTCTCATATTGTTAAACATACACGAGGAGTCTTCTGAATAGAAAAAAATATACAGTCGAGCACCGTTGTCTCGATATTCATGGGACCAAGAAAAATATTTAGTTATCCGAACTTCGAGACATCCGACCAGGGTATATCATCACATATCAGTATGAAAGAAAACAAAACGTTTCTCAGTATGTTTTGATTCGCCACTATAATCCGTTATCAAAAGTTTTAGTTGTAACAGTGAGTACTTCCTTATTAAATCCTTCTTAATTAATCCTCATTAAATAACAAACGAGTGACACTGTCGACTCAATTAGCCCTAATTAGTTTTCACTACCGCATCCCTTTGTAAACGTGTGTAAACAACCTCACTTCAGATGGATAATTGCCCACGAAAGGTAGGTGAATATCGAGTTTCTTTGCAAATATCGAGTTAAAAGGGTAGTTTTGTTTGTTGGGACCATGACATTATATCGAGATATCCGAACTATCGAGACATACGTATCGAGTTAAAAGAGCTTGAATAATGATAAATTATAAAGGATTTTGCCGGGACCAAGATGTTATATCGAGACAACCGCGAGATATCGAGTTATCAGAGTTCGACACAACGGTGTTCAACTGTACATCATTAAATAAAACAATCTCATTCATACGCAATATCATTCTTATGGTCTCTCCAGCATCTCGTTTTGTTAGGGTGAGTGAATTTGGTTTAATGCCAGTTTCAACAGTGTTACAGTCAAATGGCGGCTTTATGTGTGAGGAAAGCCAGACATGTCGGTCTCAGACGTGTAACATGTCGGTTAAACGTTCGAGCACGCGTATTGTGCTCACATAGAGGGGCGAGCCTGTATTCCAACCCACACGACGCTCTGCAGAGAGACGTCGACAACTGGGTCATCCGTTTGTTTAGCGAAATATCGAGTGAGTATCTCTTGACTAGCTGTTCACACGAGATACTTACTTGAAACATAGTTTCCTCAGGCCGACGACCGACACGATTGATACGACAATACCTCCGACAGCATACAGTACTTTCTGTGATGTGTCCAGGTCGGTGAAACTATCCACGATACTCTCCATCGTTTTCTGGGTATGTCAGTGAACCTACGCTGTGTTAAACTGGCCGACCTAAATAACATCCACCATGATTATCGGTATTTCAAGATCATGTTGAAAAGGGGCATAAGTGGTAAGGGCCTTGGACTATCAGTTGGATCGGGTAGATAAACGTTTTCGCCCTTGTGTAGGGTCAAACATAGTCTGTCTCACAGTTTCTGATTCGCATTGTTTTCTTTCCCGCTTCGCCCTTTACTGCAGCGGAAAGCACTGTATGAAGCAAGTCTAGATTTCCTCAGGTTCTGAATCTCCCTTCTTACTGGGGCTCCTATACAATTTCAAAGGAAGTAAATATTCAAAGATTAAGAGTCAGCATAGGTCAGGTGTGGTCAAATGTACGTCGTTAAAGGATCATTACATCTTCAGTTTTTATAACTGTCGTGCTACATTTTATTTGTTTGCCATATGTGCATGAGTGTGATATTTCTGCTCGAGCATAAACTCTCTACCCCCCCCCCCCCCAGGTGAATGCATCAGTTCTGCTGACTGTACGGGGTGGTGGGGTAGCTTAGTGGTTAAAGCGTTCGCTCGTCACGCCGAAGACCCGGGTTCGATTCCCCACATGGGTGCAGTGTGTGAAGCCCATTTCTGGTGCTCCCCCGCTGTGATATTGCTGGAATATTGCTAAATGCGGCGTAAAACAAAACTCACTCGCTGACTGTACGGATATGATTATGTATATCATTGAAAATAGTTGCTGTTATTTGAAATTTGTATGCTACCATTAGAACACGATTTGAAGATATAAACAAATTCATGTTTCCAATGTATCCGTTATTCCTTTTCTTGAAACTTGATAAAACTTGAACGCTGTTCACTGTGTAAAAGAAATACTTTGATTAACATAAATGTACCTTCTTGAAGCGACGTACGTTGACAGTGGCTTACCAGACAGTCATTCGTCACCACTCGCTCCTTTCCGTCACCTCCAAGAAGACTCGTACCCCACTCGATACTTGTTGTGTGCGAAAATACGACAAACCAATCAGAACGCGCGTAAATGAGCGCGGTGCTTTGATAAAAATAATCCCGAGTACTTAAATCGTTTATGGCATTATGTCATTGTGTAAAAAATCATGAAAAATATATATCGTAATATTGAAAGTACAAAGAACGTAGCTAAAAGGATTTTGCTGCCTATCATGAAGTTTTTAATAAGAATCATGCGATTTACGGTGAGAGATTCAAATGCACGCACGTGCGTTTGTTGACAAAACTGCTCTCATGGGTCCAGCTAAGTGTATTTCTGACGATCTTGTGAGCTTGTTATGGAGATTGTACGTGCGCTTCGACCAATTTTAGGAAATGTGATTATAATCGCTACCAGTTTCAAAACAATAATATCGTTTTAGTCTGACTGTTTTTTGGTCATTCATATTTTTTTCAGCGAATTCATTTAAAATTCCACCAAGGGTGTGACAGCAAGGTTACACGAATGTTCAGTTTGAGAAATATTTTAAAGTAATTTTTGAGTATCTGCTTTGGGATTCAATGTAGCTGAATTTTTTTATTTGTATATTCAATATCCATTTGTGATGATTAAACCCTTTTAAGAACCCTTTTAATTAACATAACTGGAATTATAAGGTGAACAGCTGGTAATAATTACATTAGAATGTGTCTTTAACAAATATGTTTTTCTCCTTCTTTTAGTTGTATCAAAGAGGTTCAATTCTTTAAAATAAATAAGTAAACACCCCCACCCCCACCCCCACCCCCTTCCAAAACGACAACCTAGCAATACAATGTACATTTGCTTCGGTGATTTTTAGAAACATTGCAATCAGAGTTGACGTTCTTGTTTAAAGTTGTTCTGATGTTCATGCGCCAATATAAAATCCTTCTAGAGGGGCACGAGTCGCTATTCGGCTTGTCCCGGAATAACACGAGTTGGTCACGGATGACCAGAGAGTGAATGTTTGGAGTTATTCAGGTCGGTGTGTCGACCCACATACGGCCGGTATTCAGTTCAGGTACATACTTGTCGACGATTCACGAACCATGGAGGGACTTTTGGACACTTTCGTAGACGGGTCACCCAAAATTGCATATGCAGTCGGAGGTGTTGTAGTAGCTGCTGCATCGGTCGTCGTCATCAGGAAGCTCTTGTTAAAGTATGTAGTAACATCTAGTTATCAAGTCAGCTGCGGAAACCGCCGGTGAACGATTGTTTTGATACCCAGAGAAAACTCGCCGGGTATATCACAGTACAGTTTTTGTATCGAACGGAAAGGGCTGCATGTCTTAGTCTATGTATGTATGAAGTCGTACCTATGTGTAACAGTAAACAAGAGTACTGTGTTATTTAAAATGATAAAATATTTTGGTATAGCGCCTTTTCGATATAAATAACTTTCAGTGACTGAGAACGAAAGGTCAAAGGTCAAAGTTTAGAACAAGCACCCAAACTGAAATCTAGGTCGTGAACAGAAAAAGACATATTTTCAGATTGTAACAGTCATTATTCAAAAATGTTAGTTCCATTTAAAGGTTCTGGGTTATCGCACGGTGTTATCAGATTTTCTGGTTACTATAACAACAAGCGGTTTGCGGGTGTGCTAAACACGCTTACGTTGACCTTGAATAGCAATACGTGCAGATTCCTATGTACATGATGACAGTGTACGGTTCTCGGTGTGAGGGGCGGTGGGGTCGTGCCGAAGATCCGGGTTCGATTCCCTGGATGGGTACAATGTGTGAAGCCCATTTCTGGTGTCCCCCACCGTGATATTGCTGGAATATTGCTAAAAGCTGCGTAAAACCTAACTCACTCACTCTCGGTGTGATCTGATAACATTGAGTCGTTAGTTTCTGTAAATATTTAAATAAACCAGAAGAACTATTCGCCAGGTCAGCACACACTGATAGTTGTGGTGGCCGTGGTTCCCTAGAGCACCAAGCCTTACCCTCCGTAGGCTAATTGGAAATGATTAAGGAAGAACAGTTTTCAGTCTCTGTCTCTCAGGATTAATACTACTACTTTGCCACTTCACATTTGTTTGTTTGTTTACGATGTCCTCATATAAGTCTCACAGGTAATAACATGTATTTCGTAAGAGCTGTGAATAATGTGAATTACCCCACCTAGGCTAGGGGTGAGTCCCCGCTCTTTGTTCCGGGACCGATACAGTCACACGAGTGAACTGAAATTTATACACACTCCGATCGCGGCACCGAGGTACATGTCTAAATAATTATTATGTACAACTTATGTATGTTAAATACACATATGATGCACGAAATGGTTATGTTTACATATCTTTTGGTTGCAAGAATAGACTATGTCTACATGTACATGCATTTAACCAGTTTAAGACACAGATTAATGATACCACAGCACAGGACAGCATGACTGTCTATAAATGTACAAAACATCAGTGATAAGGATTAACAATGGGGATTACATCTTATAACTTATAACATTAAGGGTTCGAGACAAACAGATGTCAAAGTTAAATGGTAATTATCCTTTAGAACTACATGTTCGACGTGTGAAGGCCCTGGTTAGAATTGACCTTCATTAGTGAGTGAGAGTGTTTAGTTTTACGCCGCACTCAGCAATATTCCAGCTATATGGCGGCGGTCTGTAGATAATCTGGGCCCCGTTCCACAAAGCGATCGTAGCGCTAAGATCGTGACCCCCATGCTTTCACATAGACTTACGACTGTCGTAGCGTTACGATCGCTTTGAGAAACGGGGCCCTGGCCTTCAGTAACCCGTGACTTGTCGTAAGAGGCGACCAACGGGATCGGGGAGTTAGGCTCGCTGGCTTGGTTGACACATGTCATTGGTTTCCATTTGCGATCCTCATGCTGTTGATCACTGGATTGTCTGGTCCAAACTCGATTATTTACAGACCGCCGCCATATAGCTGGAATACAGCTGAGTGCGGCGTAAAACTAAATTCACTCACTCACTCACTCACTAAATGTTCAATCCGACTGTATAGGTGCTGAACAACGTGATTGCAGTACGTAACATGGCATTTTCAAGTGAAATATTCTTGACTTTAGTCATTCATATTGATATATTGACAATGGCCCATTTCTGCTCTTTCACTGTTGGGCGTATGTCGTGTAAGTTAGGCAGGCGCAAAATGGTTCTGATTATTTTCAAAGTCCACTGGACATTTTTAATTCCGAATGATTCTGAAAAACAAGTACCAGTTTCAATATAGGTTTCAAGCCGTGATATAACTGGTAAGGTTCAATGAGTGAGTGAATATGGTTTTTCACCCCTTTTAGCAATATTCCAGCAATTTTACGTCGGGTGACACCAGAAATGGTCTTCAGACATTGTACCCATGTGTCGAATCGACCCCGGGTCTTCGGCCTGATGACGGAACACTTCAACTACCCCACCACCCTTCTTTACGAGATTAAGACGAACCAACTCGTTGAAATATATACGCACCAATTACAACCCATTTTCACTTGGTTGTGTACCACCTATAACTAATTAACAACAGACATCACTTTATTATCGACATGCAACAAATTATATTTGTAAATCGAACTTATGCTCTTTTGTAAAACAGCAGGGTGCTTGATAACCGAAGCTAATACATTCTATTCATTTCTATTGAATAGACAATTTGGTTGTTATATTGAGGACACTATGCCAATATTCCACAGGCAGAAGGCGAAGGAGAATCCCCGAGATACGGTGATCCTTCATCAGATCGGTAGAGGTCCTTACGCCCCCAGCTTGACGCCGTTTGCTGTGAAGCTGGAAACCTACCTCCGGATGGCCAGGATACCCTACCAGGTAGGTGAATGATGTGTTGAGTCAGTGAATGAGGTAAACCACTGGCAATGACAGAACAAACCATCGAAGCAACAGACCATTATACACAGTCAGCCAGGTAGACATTGTTACCACCCGATACGCATAACTTGACTCCGACTACTCTGACTACAATGCCAACGTTTCAATGAGTTACTGAGTGAGAATGGGTTTACGCCGGTTTTTATCAAAATTCTAGCAATATCACGGCGGGGTACACAAGAATTGGGCTTCTCACATTGTACCAATGCTGGGAATCGAACCCGGGTCTTCGGCGTGACGAGCGAACGCCTTAATATTAGGCTACCCCACCGCCCCCCGAAAGTTTGGTCATTTGAACGTGGTTGTGGCACGTTGGTGGTCAGATCATCGCAGATCGTACAGAAACGTGAAGATCCGGATTAGAATAATATTATTGTTCTTCAGCAACCCATGCTTGTCGTAAGAGCTGACCAATGGGATCAGGTTGCTGACATGGTTAACACATGTCAGAGATCGATGATCATGGTCCAGACTCGATTATTTACAGACAGCTGGAATATTGCTGAGTGCTGCAACAACAAGCAAACAAAATCGGATCGTACAGATATTTGGTTGCTGTGTCAGGCACCAACAGGGTCCGAAAGCATGTCTGAAATGCTCTATAATTTGTGTTCAGTGGCGAGATGAACCCTCCATGTCAATGTTACCCTGCTGGTATTGCTAATGGAACTGGGGAATGATACAGAATGAAAAGTAACAATCTCTGTCTCTCAGCATTAGTATTTTGCCATCTTCACGTTTGTTTGTTTATTTAAGATGTCCTCATGTAAGCCACATATGGTAATAAAATGTAATCTGAAAGAGCCTTGAATTAATAGTACAAGTAACATTTGCTCTGTGATCTTCCACTCAGAACGTCCACGGGCTGAAAGTGTCATCTAAGGGCAAGGTCCCCTGGATTGAGTATAATGGGAAGGCTGTGGCGGATTCGACATTATGTATTGACTTCCTGAACATCTGTACTGGTGAGCCTAGAAACTGTTTGTTAGGATCGGTACAATGAAACCATGAAGATAGATTCTACTATGAATTTGGAAAATACACGTACATGTGCCCGATCGATTTGAGGTTTCAAATGGCAATAACCATTTCTGTGTGAAATGTTGCGTTCTCCTCGATGAAGTTAAAATATCATATAAAAGTCCCCCCCTGCTGATTAACATCGTTGACTGAAGGTATTTTGAATATATTTTGTGTAAATATTGGGAAAGTCTCATTTATTATCACTTAAAACATACTTTTCCAAATCATTTCAAATATACTGAGGGAAACAAATAAAGGAACACAGGACAGTTCAAGTGTTCCTTTAAAATATTCCAGTTTTCATCACCAGCTTGTGATGAATGGCGCTGTCGGAAGAAATCCGAGAATAAATAAAGGAACACTGCAATGAAGTGGTGTTCCCTTATTTATTTCCTTCAGTATATGTCACTTAAGCTGTTGATGACTGACGATGTCCCTTGCTTCACGCTAATTACAGTCTGGACCTTGACTGGAAGCGGACGCACGACGTCGGAACCTCCCTTTAATACATGTAGTTGGTTTGTGTGATATCGTCACTCTTTAACCAGGCCATGTAAAAGAACGTATATATCCGCTGGTTAAACACGAATTAATATTAATGATAATGACAGTTAGATTTGTGTTTCAGGTTCCTTGCTCTATTCCGCTACCAATATGACAACGACAAAACCTTTATTAAGCAAACGTCGAAGATAGGATGGATTGTTGTACCGATTATCAAGTATATGGTTGCAAAATCAACATGGTATCAAGGTTTGGGTCGCCACACAGAAGAGGAAGTGACACAGATGTTTAAGAAGGAGCTACATGCTCTTTCTGACTTCATGGGTAAATCAAGCCCACAGGGGCGTGTCACGCTTAGAAACAGCGTTAGAAAGACATATAGGTATATAGACCCTACCCTAGTACTATATAAAAGGAAAGGGATGTAACGACGGAACCACCCCCTCCTCAATCTGAGTTACATTTCACCACGTAAACTATTTCTAAGGCCCCGTCGAGGCCTACGGATCAAAGGCGAGATGATTTCCCTACAAAATGAGCTATAAATAGTCACAATCGGATCATTATTTCAAAAGTTATACGCCACGACTCACCGAAAACAGCTACCTCCGCAATTCCAAGCCAAAATCATGGATCACCCAAGACAGCGAAAACTCACCTTTTAAATTCGTTTATTAATTCCAGCCACGTTGACAGCACCTATGTAGGGCTAAGTTCGATCGGCAGCGCCATTCCACGGGTCTAAAAACTTATTGAAACATCTACAAATCATTGATTGAGGAGGGGGTGGTTCCGTCGTTACATCCCTTTCCTTTTATATAGTACTAGGGTTAGGGTCTATATACCTATATGCCTTTCTGACGCTGTTTCTAAGCGTGACACGCCCCTGTGATCAAGCCGACATATTTGTTTTCTGTGACACTATCTTGTATGTACCTGAAGTTTTACATACCAGATCAATTATTTTATCAAAAGAGACATTATGGGTACAGAAGAATCCGTGACTATATTTACAACTTCAGACATCAACATGTATATTTATGATATCGCAATGATACCTGGGTGGCAACTATTCATGGAAAGCGTGCTTGATAATTGCCTTGACATACACAAGATACACCGGCTGAGTCATTCTCAAGGACTTCAAGTCAAAGTCACTCCGCCTCAGTAACGTCTCACCCACAAAGAAGCCTGCTGAAAATACGAAAGGATGCACGTACAATTGACGACCATATAGCTTGAGATACAGGACAAAGATGTTTATGCAGGCGAATAGGGTCACATGTTTGCAGCACTGTTTATATACTGGTCAGTGATAGTTACTGCCTACTAGCTGACCCGTGACGATCAGGGTTACAATTGGTTTGCAGCAACCCATGTTTGTCGTAAGAGGCGACTGGAATATTGCTGAGTGCGGCGTTAAGCTACAAGCCAGCCAAAACCTAAAAGCTAACTTAGAACACAATGGATTTTACAATGTCATGCATCAGTTCTCTCAAAGTGAACCACAAGCATACAATTCATGACACAGCAATGATACATCGGTGCCAAGTGTCTGTGTACTGCATGTTCCTTAATATTCCTTCTATTTTCCTCTCGTCTCAGGGGGAGAGGAAGTTCCTGATGGGAGATGAACCTTGTGAATCTGACTGCGCGGTGTTCGGACAACTGTTTCAGCTGTACTGGCATTTTCTTGGAACAGGGCATGAAAATCTCATCAGAGGTACCACATTAAATACATAATTTTTATATTTATTCATTTTCGCATCAAAGTGCCAGGACTGCATCGAGGTCAACAAATAAAATCTACATTCGTTTTTGATGGTTAAGGGCAGTTTGGTACATGTGTGCTGTTACGTAATAGATTGCAGGTATTGCTTTTATACACTTCATTTTGATTTCGTCCTCTGAAACTGATTTGTGAAGTGGAAACTTGGTACATGTTAAGATGTAATGTAAGATGTAAGATGCATCATTTTGTCTTTAGAAACAGTGACAAATTACAAAGATACTCATACTGTTCTTTCTGTTTATTTATATGATATTTAAACAGTCAGTCATATATTTAACATTTATTATCTCGTATTGTTCCTTGTCCTAGACAAGTACCCAAACCTAGCCGCCTACTGTAACCGTATGAAGGAAACATTCTGGCCTGACTGGGACCAGTGCATCACTCATGGTGGAACAAAGGAGGCAACCAAGTAAAGGGAGGCAACACGGTGTGGACATTTGCACCACATTAATTTCATGCCCTGTTTCTTTAGTCAGGTATAATACTAAAAGCTTTTAGTTTTATGATGAGAGTCCAAAGATACCTGGCATATAGATATAGTTCACCCGGATTATTGACTGACCATAATGGATAATGTCTCATATCAGCTTTAGCTCCTTCGCCTTTTCACATGGTAATTTTTTTTTCTCATATATTTCTTGTTTATCTAACCGGTGAAGGTCCGGGTTAGAAGGAACCTTCAGTAACCCATGCTTGTCGTAAGAGGTGATTAATGGGATCGGGTGGTCAGGCTCGCTGACTTGGTTCACACATGTCATTGGTTCCCAATTTCGCAGATCGACGCTCATGCTATTGATCACTGGATTGTCTGGTCCAGACTCGATTATTTACAGACCGCCGCCACAAGCCTTGAATATTGCTGAGTACGGCGTAAAACTAAACTCACTCTTGTATTCCTCTGTCACAGACAAGGCATTATTTTTCAAGATTATAGCTTTTCGACTACTTCACTCTTGAAAAGTATTGACTTTCCTTCTTGAGGGTCATTTAGACTACTTCACAGTGTGCCACAACTGTCTATATGGTTGTCTCCCAAAACCACTACAACCCATAAACCCTACAGCCCAGTAACCCTACAATTTATTAAAACAACACGCGGCATTTACCTGTCTGGTATAATGAACTGACCCAAAGGAGAGATTACAGGATACAGATAAATAATTAGAGATGATTTTGGGTGGTATATACCAGGGGCGTTCAAAAGGTAGTCAGCCTAAGTATATTCTCGATGTCCAATGTTTGAAATGCTTCCATTTTATTTTGGAGAAATTATTAGCAAAGCCATATCCAAAATTTCACATATGTGGATGCGGTTACAACCCATTAAGGTATAATATTTCTTTAAAAAATTGAGGAAAATGAAAAACAATCATTTGGTACGTCTTGGATAATTGTGTACCCTCAGATAATATCATAGAAAATATGTTCAGTATAATTTTGGATGACTACCCGTCATAATCAACATTCAAAGATTTGGATTGCTAGATTTACATTAAGACGGGTGCTGTTTTTCAAGGACACCCCCATTTTAATCTTTAAAAAAACATTGTGTCCAGATATTCATGCTGGCACTGTTTACAATATATTGAGAGCTGACACTTGTGTGACCATTACTTTTTTATGCACTTTAATATCTAAGTTTCATTCTAGCCGACTTCTGCCTGTCTCAAACACACAAAATGTTTCTTGCATATTTTGTTTCCTAAAGTTAGTGATGCATTTATTGCAGATTTTTTCGTTTGGGGGGGATATCAAGATAAAATGTCAAAAAAACTGGGGGTCGTGAGGCTGGAACATAGCAAAACCAATTTGCTTGAGGTTGACACATAATATGTAGAAAAATAAAACACGTTATGACATAATGATATTTAAAGAAGTTAATTAAACCTCAAGTTCAATATTATTGAACTTTTGTTAAAATATTTTTGTTATCATCCATTAAAACCATTATCTCAAACTCTTTCTAAGTGTTTGGCCTGGTCCATTGTATGAAATATACAACAGGCAGGACTTTGTTGTTATAAACTGTAGGGGTTATGGGCTGTAGGGGTTTGAGGAGGTTACCATCTATACTATTATATAAATAACCTTAACTGGATATCCTCTCGGCCGTGTCTGCCATCACATCAATCAGTCCAAAGCAATACTATTGTTTCTCTGTCTGACTACTGTTGTCGTTTTGTCTGTCCATTGTTGTTGCCTATAACTACAAACGTAAAACGTTAAATGAGTAAGTGTGAGTGTATATGTGCGTAATGTGTGTGCGTCTGCGTGCGTGCGTGCGCGCGGTGGACATGTGCCACGACTGATGTCCCTGGCATGAGAGAGAAAAACTAGGCCTAGAATCACTTCATTTGTTTATAATCAATTTCATGATGAATAAAGTATTATGAACACAGTTCTGCTACTGATGTTCCAAGCATGAGAGAGAAATCGGGTCTAGAATCTATGTTTATAATTAATGTTAAGCTGAATAAAGTTATATGATTACAATTGCTGTTGCGTCTTCTTACGGCGGAATGAGAAAATACATTTTGTGAAATACGCTCCGAGACTTGTTTCACATTCCGCGCCCATACAAGCCTGACGCTGCTGAGGAGTGGCCTCCCTTACATGTATTGTACCATTCAGCAGGGACGCTTGGAGAAGGAAGAAGTATAGTCGACTCGTAAAGAATGGAAAGTCTTCTTGAAACGTTCAGAAACCTTGACCCATCACAGAAAATCCTATATGGCGTCGGATGTGCGGCAGTGACCACTGTGTCCTTCGTGGCTTTGAGGAAACTCACGCAAAAGTATGTTGTTACCTGCTGCAGTCGACATTGAAACGCAGTCAACCGGTGCAGAGATAAATTTGTTTCCCATGACATTTCATGGGGTATTGATCCGGTTTTAACAATTTGTGGAAAGGAATGGGCGAGTTATCTGAAAACATAACACAAACAGGCTGTATTATGAGTTAGCTTAGTATATTTCCCATGTAATGAATCCTTAATTATGTCACAAGCAAAGCTGAAGACATATTTCTAGCCAGTGAAACTGATACATTTATCTGCAATGCGGTTAAGGGGTGAGGGTACTGGGTCTGAAGGGACGGTCATTTACAATAACGTTGTTTCGTTGTATAGAGAGAAGCGTAAAGAGTATCCCCGAGATACGGTGATCCTTCATCAGATCGGTAGAGGTCCTTACGCCCCCAGCATGACACCGTTTGCTGTGAAGCTGGAAACCTACCTCCGGATGGCCAGGATACCCTACCAGGTGGGTGAATGAGGTGTTGAGTCAGTGAGTGAGGTAAACCACTGGGAAGGACAGAACAAACCATCGAAGCAAAAGTCGTTGTGCACAGTCAGCCAGATACACAGTGTAACCACCCGATACGCATAAATCGACTCTGACTTCACTGACTACAATGTTCGAGATCGGAGACAACAGTCACAGCTTATTGGTAATTCCTACATTGTTGTCAACTAATATATGTATACATTGTGACCTGGCTGTTTGTGTTTATCCTGCTGTGTATACTGTTGTTCATTCTATCAACCACTAGGCAGTGAAAGTTGATGTTTGCAGTTAATCACTCATCTTCTGCCCAGAACCTCGTTACACAAGACATACATACTTATGGTAATATATGAGGCGATTGCTTTGTAAACCAAAACGAGATCACCGAAGAAGGCTCTGTGTGTCCGTCCGTGCGTGCGTGCGTTTGTCTGTGCATGCATGCGTGTAAGAGGCTTAAGGGACAAGAAGAAGGTTACACCGGATATAACATGGAAGACCACGAGATATCGAGTAACGTCGCGTCTTCAGGTTAACTCAAGAAACACATCACTTACAGTATCATGTAGAAATTTCCTAGTTTACATATACCATTAACGAAGTAGGGGATATTCCATTTTGCGAGCATACCACAAGCCAATGCCAATGCACATGAGAAAAATAGTATATATCCATACAGATGAAACATTTCCAAAGGAATGGAATAAATTCTCACATTAACCCTTAATTTCTCTTCATCATCTCTTTCCTCCTTGGCTTCATCATTTGCATTTTATCAATCTTGTAAATCCAATATCCCCTACTTTTTTGGAATGGTATATATTCACATAAGTCACAGTTTTTCTTCTGCGCATAGTTCCTCATGCCGTGTCACGTTTTCCATAGAACGTCCATGGAATGCAACCTTCACCTAAGGGCAAGGTCCCCTGGATTGAGTACAATGGCCAACCTATTGGGGACACCACGCTGTGTATAAATTTCCTCAATCAGAAGCTTGGGGTGGACCTCAACAAGCACCTGAGTCCAGCTGACAAGGGTATAGCGCAAGCGATGCAGGTTATGACGGAGGAACATCTGTACTGGTACGTCAACTTTAATTGGTCTTCAGTAACCCATGCAACGAGATAGGGTGGTCAGGCTCGCTGACTTGGTTGACACATGTCATCGTATCCCAGTTGCGTAGATCGATGCTCATGCTGTTGATCACTGGATTGTCTGGTCAAGACTCGATTATTTACAGACCGCCGCCACAAGGCCATATAGCTAAATCACTCATATGGAAGACATATAAATAATTGACGCATCAGTGACAAAAATCATGTCTGATGCAGTTCCCTATTAAGACATATAGCATATTTCCAACGTACTGATGATTTGAAATGATTCCGATCCAGGTTGCTTGCCCAAATCCGCTGGTTGTACAGCAGAGACGCTTATTTATTTTCGAAACGTTTAAATTCTCCAAGTTCTTTCTATGGATGATACGACGACATATCAGAAGACAAACATGGAGTCAGGGATTGGGTCGCCACACGGAGGAAGAGGTCGTCGAAATGATGTATAAGGACTTCCAATCTATCTCCGACTTTATAGGTATTTATTTGTGGAAATTGAGTTTGGTAGTGAGTCTTTGAACAGTCATTCGGTTATATTGCTGGGTACATTCACCTTGGAGATTCCTGCTACGACTGTCGTGAGTCTATGTTGCAGTATAGGAGGTACGAAGTCGTAGCGCTGCGATAGCTTTGTGAAACGGGACCGACTTTAGGATGTCCCAGCGTAATGATTTACGACCGTTCCACTAAGATAGAAAATAAAGAGCTGTCGTAAGCCTATGTTACAGTATAGGAGGTACGACATTCGTGGTGCTACGATAGCACCCCGTTGTGAAACGGGGCCCTGGTTTACGATGTGGTTTAGGACGTCGTAGCGCTAACAGGCTTTCGTGAAACGGCACCCTGGTTAGAACAGGTCACTGTGTTGTGTTGGTAGTAATAGGTGACCAAACGGATCGGTAGTCACTCTAACTGACTCGTTTGATAGCGTGTCACGACGGCTTGAAACATGCCTCTAAATATCATTCACAGGATTGCCCGGTACAACCTCGAATATCCACAGTCCGCTGTCTTGCAGTTGGACTAGTGCCAAGGCTTAAAACAACAAACAAAACTGACAAAACAAACACAACCTGTATCAACTTGCTTTGAACAGGAGGCAGTACCTCAACCCAAAGTTTTGCAGGTCTGAGACAGAAACTCAGAAATATAATTTTGACCCCAACTTAAGGTTCGAATCCAATTCTGCAACCCCTTGGCTCCAGACTGAAATGAAGAGATTTTCATATATTGTTATATTTAGTGATTAAGTATATAGGTTACGTAAGTCTATAATTTATAAACCTTAAGTTTCCCAATCGCCCCAAACCAGACGGTCAGTTGTTTCAAGAAGCCTTTACTCTTTTAACGTGCGCCGACCACATGTTTGATTGTCCCTGTCCATTTTAATTAACCAGTAACAATGGAGAAAAACAAACAGAGGACATGAATATCATAATCCCTCTTCTCTTCGATGCTGTATGGAAATCTAGCGGTGAAGATCCGGGTTAGAATTGGTCTTCAGCAACCCGTGATTGTGGTAAGAGGCGACTAACGGGATCGGGTGGTCAGGCTCGCTGGCTTGGTTGACATATGTCATCGTATCCCCATTACGTAGATCGATGACCATGCTGTTGATCACTGGATTGTTATGTCTTGTATAGCTGGAATATTATGAGTGCGGCGTTAAACAACAAACCAAACAACCAACTGTATGGAAATCGAAAAGGAAATATTTTAATTTTTTCCCCTTTGTTAGATAACTTGATATGGTTTACATATATTTATCCTGTACAATCTGAATGGATGTACAGGTACAGGGACATTATTAACTTAGTTACATCCTGTATACTAGGGAGGAAGAAGTTCCTGATGGGGATGATCCCTGTGAAGCGGATTGCTCTCTGTTCGGTATGCTGTCTCAGGCATATTGGCAGTTTAATGGATCTGGATTTGAGAGTCTCATAAAAGGTAAAACCCGGAAAACAGGTGATATTCCCATTAATTACCTGATCGAAATTATCACTCTCGTCACATATACGTCATTGTTATTCCTTAGTAGTAAACTGTTACATGCCTTCTACTTCACTCACTTTTCATACATATTCGCGATGTGAATTCCAGATGAAAGGGTTTTGAGAAATTTTAAATAATTCTTATTGAAAGTGTGTAATGTTTGCAAATGCTGTATAAGTCAATATCAACGTGGGTGGTGGGGTAGCTTGGTGAAGACCCGGGTTCGATTCCCTACATGGGTACAATGTGTGAAGCCCATTTCTGGTGTCCCCGACGTTATATTGCTGGAATATTGCCAAAAGCGGAGTAAAACTAAACTCACTCACTCAATAGCAACGAGTTCAACTGATAAAGAAGGCTGAGTTGTGTCTTACACCACAGGGAACGGTATTTTGTTTTGTTTGTTTTGTATTTTGCATGTTGATATAGTGACCAAATCCCAGTTGATGCAGTTCTGAGTTATGTCCGTGGTTATGCAAAAGAAGAGTACTTGAAACCAGGTTCATTTAAGGACATTTTGAAGTGCAGTTCTCCGCAGTCAATAGCGCTCTGGACGATGTTTACCTTATGGCTAAAGAAATTGCTCCAAAACTCTCGTCGGTGTTGTCTCTTTTGAAGTATTTGTGTATCATGTATGACATATGCATAGTGGTGTTTGTGGAACATTTTTGTTGATAACATCTTATTTTCCCCAGATAAATATCCCAACCTGGCCGCCTACTGTGAACGTATGAAGGAAGCATTCTGGCCCGACTGGGACCAGTGCATCACACACGGTGGAACAAGGGAGGCAACCAAATGAAGGGAGATAACTCAGTGACTGCCCGTCCATTAAGCCTTCAAACATGAGATATTATAATTGTTTGACCGAATATGGAGCTGAATTATATTATGTATTCATATAATATGTGTTTGAGTGTAAGAGAATCAGTGAATATAATTTTACGGCTCTTGCCGCAGAATTTCAGCAGTGTATCGACGGGGAACTCCAGGAACGGAAAATGTTTGAAAGAATGTGAACTAGTGTAGCCAAGTGGTTACATCACTTTGTCTTGTTTGAAGACCCGGGTTCGATTTCGAATACGATGCGCGAATAACGTCGCCGAAATAATGCTCAAAACCCCTCTCACATAGATATTTTATTGTTCATGAAATATTCACTGACCTGTGAGAAGAAGTATAATGAATTCAACTTCTTTTAATCCAGAGTAACTGTTTACATCTAACTGATGTACGTTGTGTTCGGTAATATTAAGAACGTAAGTGCTTTAAATAATTGTTACTCATATTAACTGTTACTAATAACATATATGCTTCAATTGCTTGTTTTTATGTTCAAGTGAGTGAGTGAGTTTAGTTTTATGCCACACTCAGCAATATTCCAGTTATATGGCGGCGGTCTGTAAATAATCGGGTCTGGACTCAAGCCATCTTAGCTATGACTGTCGTAACTCTACGTTAAAGGCACAATGTCACACATTTTCGACTATATTTTGGCCTATATTTTAGTCATATATGCACTCACTTAAGCTTCCTATTGATGCAGTTGAAGACTTATTATCCCGTACCTGTTGCCTGAAATCGATAATTGAAACTTCGAGGCATACAGCTTCCAAACAGATAACACTTGTCATATATGGAATGTAAACGATTGCTCCGTACATCGAAAACTGTCGCACGCGGTGTTATCGGTGTTTGCCGAACTGGTGGTGGTGGAATTGGGTTTGAGATAATGGTTTTAATGGATGATAACTAAAATATTTTAACAAAAGTTCGATAATATTGAACTTGAGGTTTAATTAACTTCTTTAAATATCATTATGTCATAACATGTTTTTATTTTTCTACATATTATGTGTCAGCCTCAAGCAAATTGGTTTTGCTATTTTCCAGCCTCACGATCCCCATTTTTTTTTTTACTTTTTATCTTGATATCCCCCCCAAAACGAAAAAATCTGCAATAAATGCATCACAAACTTTAGGAGGTGAGGTGAGGTGAAATTGGGTTTTACGTCGTACTTGAGAATATTTCGCTCATATGACGACGTGCATGCGTGTGTATGTGTATGTGCGGCTGCTTGTACTAGCCCAGACTTAAGCTGGTTTTATAGTGCTAGCCCACTGAGATACCATGCCGCAGTGAAGCATGAATACCCCACTCAGACACATGATACTGACTCCGAGCCGGCCAGTCCTTGTTGTACCCATTAATGCCGAGCGCCAGGCAGGGACCAACAAGTACCATAAAGTCCACAAACTTTAGGAAACAAAATATGCAAGAAACATGTTGTGTGTTTGAGACAGGCAGAAGTCGGCTAGAATGAAACTTAGATATTAAAGTGCATAAAAAAGTAATGGTCACACAAGTGTCAGCTCTCAATATATTGTAAACAGTGCCAGCATGAATATCTGGACACAATGTTTTTGAAAGATTAAAATGGGGGTGTCCTTGAAAAACAGCACCCGTCTTAATGTAAATCAAGCAATCCAAATCTTTGAATGCTGATTATGACGGGTAGTCATCCAAAATTATACTGAACATATTTTCTATGATATTATCTGAGGGTACACAATTATCCAAGACGTACCAAATGATTGTTTTTCATTTTCCTTCATTTTTTAAAGAAATATTATACCTTAATGGGTTGTTACCGCATCCACATATGTGAAATTTTGGATATGGCTTTGCTAATAATTTCTCCAAAATAAAATGGAAGCATTTCAAACATTGGACATCGAGAATATACTTAGGCTGACTACTTTTTGAACGCCCCTGGTATATACCACCCAAAATCATCTCAAATTATTTATCTGTATCCTGTAATCTCTCCTTTGGGTCAGTTCATTATACCAGACAGGTAAATGCCGCGTGTTGTTTTAATTCATTGTAGGGTTACTGGGCTGTAGGGTTTATGGGTTGTAGTGGTTTTGGGAGACAACCATATAGACAGTTGTGGCACACTGTGAAGTAGTCTAAATGACCCCCAAGAAGGAAAGTCAATACTTTTCAAGAGTGAAGTAGTCCAAAGGGTATAATCTTGAAAAATAATGCCTTGTCTGTGACAGAGGAATACAAGAGTGAGTGAGTGAGTTTAGTTTTACGCCGCACTCAGCAATATTCCAGCCTTGTGGCGGCGGTCTGTAAATAATCGAGTCTGGACCAGACAATCCAATAATCAACAGCATGAGCGTCGATCTGCGCAATTTGGAACCGATGACATGTGTCAACCAAGTCAGCGAGCCTGACCACCCGATCCCATTAATCACCTCTTACGACAAGCATGAGTTACTGAAGGTTCATTCTAACCCGGACCTTCACCGGTTAGATAAACAAGAAATATATGAGAAAATAGTTAACCATGTGAAAAGGCGAAGGAACTAAAGCTGATGTGAGACATTATCCATTATGGTCAGTCAGTAATCCGGGTGAACTATATCTATATACCAGGTATCTTTGGACTCCCATCATAAAACTAAAGAAACAGGGTATAAAATTAATGTGGTGCAAATGTCCACACCGTGTTGTCTCCCTTTACTTGGTTGCCTCCTTTGTTCCACCATGAGTGATGCACTGGTCCCAGTCAGGCCAGAATGTTTCCTTCATACGGTTACAGTAGGCGGCCAGGTTTGGGTATTTGTCTAGGACAAGGAACAATACGAGATAATAAATGTTAAATATATGACTGACTGTTTAAACATCATATAAATAAACAGAAAGAACAGTATGAGTATCTTTGTAATTTGTCACTGTCTCTAAAGACAAAATGATGCATCAGGATTACATCTTAACATGTACCAAGTTTCCACTTCACAAATACCTGCAATCTATTACGTAACAGCACACATGTACCAAACTGCCCTTAACCATCAAAAACGAATGTAGGTTTTATATGTTGACCTCGATGCAGTCCTGGCACTTTGATGCGAAAATGAATAAATATAAAAATTATGTATTTAATGTGGTACCTCTGATGAGATTTTCATGCCCTGTTCCAAGAAAATGCCAGTACAGCTGAGACAGTTGTCCGAACACCGCGCAGTCAGATTCACAAGGTTCATCTCCCATCAGGAACTTCCTCTCCCCTGAGACGAGAGGAAAATAGAAGGAATATAAAGGAACATGCAGTACACAGACACTTGGCACCGATGTATCATTGCTGTGTCATGAATTGTATGCTTGTGGTTCACTTTGAGAGAACTGATGCATGACATTGTAAAATCCATTGTGTTCTAAGTTAGCTTTTAGGTTTTGGCTGGCTTGTAGCTTAACACCGCACTCGGCAATATTCCAGTCACCTCTTACGACAAACATGGGTTGCTGCTAACCAATTGTAACCCTGATCGTCACGGGTCAGCTAGTAGGCAGTAACTATTACTGACTAGTATATAAACAGTGCTGCAAACATGTGACCCTATTCGCCTGCATAAACATCTTTGTCCTGTATCTCAAGCTATATGGTCGTCAATTGTACGTGCATCCTTTCGTATTTTCAGCGGGCTTCTTTGTGGGTGAGACGTTACTGAGGCGGAGTGACTTTGGCTTGAACTCCTTGAGAATGACTCAGCCGGTGTATCTTGTGTATGTCAAGACAATTATCAAGCACGCTTTCCATGAATAGTTGCTACCCAGGTATCATTGCGATATCATAAATATACATGTTGATGTCTGAAGTTGTAAATATAGTCACGGATTCTTCTGTACCCATAATGTCTCTGTTGATAAAATAATTGATCTGGTATGTAAAACTTCAGGTACATACAAGATAGTGTCACAGAAAACAAATATGTCGGCTTGACCACAGGGGCGTGTCACGCTTAGAAACAGCGTCAGAAAAACATATAGGTATATAGACCCTACCCTAGTACTATATAAAAGGAAAGGGGTTTAACGACGGAACCACCCCCTCCTCAATCAATGATTTGTAGATGTTGCAAAAGGTTTTTAGACCCGTGGAATGGCGCTGCCGATCGAACTTAGCCCTACATAGGTGCTGTCAACGTGGCTGGAATTAATAAACGAATTTAAAAGGTGAGTTTTCGCTGTCTTGGGTGATCCATGATTTTGGCTTGGAATTGCGGAGGTAGCTGTTTTCGGTGAGTCGTGGCGTATAACTTTTGAAATAATGATCCGATTGTGACTATTTATAGCTCATTTGGTAGGGAAATCATCTTGCATTTGATCCGTAGGCCTCGACGGGGCCTTAAAAATAGTTTACGTGGTGAAATCTAACTTAGATTGAGGAGGGGGTGGTTCCGTCGTTACATCCCTTTCCTTTTATATAATAGTACTAGGGTAGGGTCTATACACTTATATGTCTTTCTAACGCTGTTTCTAAGCGTGACACGCCCCTGTGGGCTTGATTTACCCATGAAGTCAGAAAGAGCCTGTAGCTCCTTCTTAAACATCTGTGTCACTTCCTCTTCTGTGTGGCGACCCAAACCTTGATACCATGTTGATTTTGCAACCATATACTTGGCAATCCGTACAACAAACCATCCTATCTTCAACGTTTGCTTAATAAAGGTTTTGTCGTTGTCATATTGGTAGCGGAATACAGCAAGGAACCTGAAACACAAATCTTACTGTTCATTATCATTAATATTAATTCGTGTTTAACCAGCGGATATATACGTTCTTTTACATGGCCTGGTTAAAGAGTGACGATATCACACAAACCAACTACATGTATTAAAGGGAAGTTCCGACGTCGTGCGTCCGCTTCCAGTCAAGGCCCAGACTGTAATTAGCGTGAAGTAAGGGACATTGTCAGTCATCAACAGCTTAAGTGACATATACTGAAGGAAATAAATAAGGGAACACCACTTCATTGCAGTGTTCCTTTATTTATTCTCAGAATTCCTCCCACAGCGCCATTCATCACAAGCTGGTGATGAAAACTGGAATATATTAAAGGAACGCTTGAACTGTCCTGTGTTCTTTTATTTGTTTCCCTCAGTATATTTGCAATGATTTGGAAAATTATGTTATAAGTGATAATAAATGAGACTTTCCCAATATTTATACAAAATACATGTATATTCAAAATACCTTCAGTCAACGATGTTAATCAGCAGGGGGTTGGGGGGTGGGCGGGTGGGTACTTTTATATGATATTTTAACTTCATCAAGAACGCGACCTTTCTCATAGAAATGGTTATTGCTATTTGAAACCTCAAATCGATCGGGCACATGTACGTGTATTTTCCAAATTCATAGTAGAATCTATCTTAATGGTTTCATTGTACAAACAGTTTCTAGGCTCACCAGTACAGATGTTCCTCCGTCATGACCTGCATTGCCATAGCTGCACCCTTGTCCCGGGGACTCAGGTGCTGGTGGAGGTCCACTTCCAGCTTTTCGTTCAGGAAGTCAATACATAATGTCGAATCCGCCACAGCCTTCCCATTATACTCAATCCAGGGGACCTTGCCCTTAGATGACATTTTCAGCCCGTGGACGTTCTGAGTGGAAGATCACAGAGCAAAAGTTACTTGTACTATTAATTCAAGGCTCTTTCAAATTACATTTTATTACCATATGTGGCTTACACGAGGACATCTTAAATAAACAAACAAACAAACAAACAAACAAACAAACAAACAAACGTGAAGATGGCAAAATACTAATGCTGAGAGACAGATCTAGAGATTGATACTTTTCATTCTGTATCATTCCTCAGTCACATTAGCAATACCAGCAGGGTAACATAGACATGGAGGGTTCATCTCGCTACTGAACAAAAATTATAGAGCATTTCAGACATGCTTTCGGACCCTGTTGGTGCCTAACACAGAAGCCAAATATCTGTACGATCTGATTTTGTTTGCTTGTTGTTGCAGCACTCAGCAATATTCCAGCTGTCTGTAAATAATCGAGTCTTGACCATGATCATCGATCTCTTATCGATGTGTCAACCATGTCAGCGAGCCTGATCCCATTGGTCTAATCTTACGACAAGCATGGGTTGCTGAAGAACAATAATATTATTCTAATCCGGATCTTCATGTTTCTGTACGATGTGCGATGATCTGACCACCAACGTGCCACAATCACGTTCAAATGACCAAACTGTTTTGGGGGGCGGTGGGGTAGCCTAATGTTAAGGCGTTCGCTCGTCACGCCAAAGACCCGGGCTCGATCACCCGCATTGGTACAATGTGAGAAGCCCATTTCTGGTGTACCCCGCCGTGATATTGCTAGAATTTTGATAAAACCGGCGTAAACCCATTCTCACTCAGTAACTCATTGAAACGTTGGCATTGTAGTCAGAGTAGTCGGAGTCGAGTTATGCGTATCGGGTGGTAACAATGTCTACCTGGCTGACTGTGTATAATGGTCTGTTGCTTGGATGGTTTGTTCTGTCATTCCCAGTGGTTTACCTCACTCACTCGCTCAACACATCATTCACCTACCTGGTAGGGTATCCTGGCCATCCGGAGGTAGGTTTCCAGCTTCACAGCAAACGGCGTCATGCTGGGGGCGTAAGGTCCTCTACCGATCTGATGAAGGATCACCGTATCTCGGGGATACTCCTTCGCCTTCTGCCTGTGGAATATTGGCATAGTGTCCTCAATATAACAACCAAATTGTCTATCCAATAGAAATGTATTGAATTTATTAGCTTCGGTTATCAAGCACCCTGCTGTTTTACAAAAGAGCATATGTTCGATGTACAAATATAATTTGTTGCATGTCGATAATAAAGTGATGTCTGTAGTTATCATAGGTGGTACACAACCAAGTGAAAAGGGGTTGTTATTGGTGCGTATAAACGAGTTGGTTCGTCTTAATGCCGTTAAGAGTGAGTGAGTGAATATGGTTTTACGCCGCTTTTAGCAATATTCCAGCAATATCATGGCGGGGGACACCAGAAATGGGCTGCACACAATGTGCCCATGTGGGGATTCGAACGCGGGTCCTCGGCGTGACGAGCGAACGCTTTAACCACTAGGCTACCCTATCGCCCCTTAATGCCGTTAAGAAGTGTTCGCTCGTCAGGCCGAAGACCCGGCGTCGATTCGACACATGGGTACAATGTCAGAAGACCGTTTCTGGTGTCACCCGACGTAAAATTGCTGGAATATTGCTAAAAGGGATGAAAAACCATATTCACTCACTCATTTAATGCCGTTTTGAACCTTACTTATCAGTTATATCACGGCTTGAAACCTATATTGAAACAGGTACTTATTTTTCAGAATTATTCGGAATTAAAAATGTCCAGTGGACTTTGAAAATAATCAGAACCATTTTTGCGCCTGCCTAACTTACACGACATACGCACAACTGTGAAAGAGCAGCAATGGGTCATGTCAATATATCAATATGAATGACTAAAGTCAAGATTATTTCACTTGAAAATGCCATGTTACGTACTGCAATCACGTGGTTCAGCACCTATACAGTCGGATTGAACATTTAGTGAGTGAGTGAGTGAATTTAGTTTTACGCCGCACTCAGCTGTATTCCAGCTATATGGCGGCGGTCTGTAAATAATCGAGTTTAGACCAGACAATCCAGTGATCAACAGCATAAGCATCGCAAATGGAAACCGATGACATGTGGCAACCAAGCCAGCGAGCCTAACCACCCGATCCCGTTGGTCGCCTCTTACGACAAGTCACGGGTTACTGAAGGCCAGGGCCCCGTTTCTCAAAGCGATCGTAACGCTACGACAGTCGTAAGTCTATGTTAAAGCGTGGGGTTCGCGATCTAAGCGCTACGATCGCTTTGTGGAACGGGGCCCAGATTATTTACAAACCGCCGCCATATAGCTGAAATATTGCTGAGTGCGGCGTAAAACTAAACACACTCACTCACTAATGAAGGTCAATTCTAACCCGGATCTTTACGGGTCGAACATGTAGTTCTAAAGGATAATTACCATTTAACTTTGACATATGTTTGTCTCGAACCCTTAATGTTATAAATTATAAGATGTAATCCCCATTGTTAATCCTTATCACTTATTTCTTTTACATTTATGGACAGTCATGCTGTCCTGTGCTGTGGTATCATTAATCTGTGTCTTAACTGGTTTAATGCATGTACATGTAGACATAGTCTATTCTTGCAACCAAAAGATATGTAAACATAACCATTTCGTGCATCATATGTGTATTTAACATACATAAGTTGTACATAATAATTATTAAGACATGTACCTCGGTGCCGCGATCGGAGTGTGTATAAATTTCAATTCACTCGTGTGACTATATTGGTCCCGGAACAAAGAGCGGGTACTCACCCCTAGCCTAGGTGGGGTAATTCACATTATTCACAGCTCTTACGAAATACATGTTATTACCATATGAGGCTTATATGAGGACATCGTAAACAAACAAACAAAATGTGAAGTGGCAACGTAGTAGTATTAATCCTGAGAGACAGAGACTGAAAACATTTCTCCCTTAATCATTTCCAATTAGCCTTCGGAGGGTAAGGCTTGGTGCTCTAGGGAACCACGGCCACCACAACTATCAGTGTGTGCTGACCTGGCGAATAGTTCTTCTGGTTTATTTATATATTTACAGAAAACTATCGACTCAATGTTATCAGATCACACCGAGAGTGAGTGAGTTGGGTTCTACGCAGCTTTTAGCAATATTCCAGCAATATCACGGTGGGGGACACCAGAAATGGGCTTCACACATTGTACTCATCCAGGGAATCGAACCCGGATCTTCGGCATGACGATCGAACGCTTCCATCACTATCTACCCCACCGCCCCTCACACCGAGAACCGTACACTGTCATCATGTACATAGGAATCTGGACGTATTGATATTCAAGGTCAATGTAAGCCTGTTTAGCACACCCGCAAACCGCCTGTTGTTATAGTAACCAGAAAACCTGGTAACCCAGTGCGATAATCCAGAACCTTTAAAAGGGTCTAACATATTTGAATAATGACTGTTAAACTCTGAAAATATGTCTCTTTCTGTTCACGACCTGGATTTCGGTTTGGGTGCTTGTTCTAACTTTTGACCTTTGATCTGACCTTTGACCTTTCGTTCTCAGTCACTGAAAGTTATGTATATCGAAAAGGCGATCGAGGTCAGGGCTGTACCAAAAGATTTTATCATTTTAAATAACACAGTACTTTTGTTTACTGTTACATATAGGTACGACTTCATACATACATAGACTAAGACATGCAGCCCTTTCCGTTCGATACAAAAACTGTACTGTGATATACCCGGCGAGTTTTCTCTGGGTATCAAAACAATCGTTCACCGGTGGTTTCCGCAGCTGACTTGATAACTAGATGTTACTACATACTTTAACAAGAGCTTCCTGAGGACGACGACCAATGCAACAGCTACTACAACACCTCCGACTGCATATGCAATTTTCTGTGACCCGTCTACGAAAGTGTCCAAATGTCCCTTCCATGGTTCGTGAATCGTCGACTAGTATGTACCTGAACTGGATACCGGCCGTAAGTGGGTGAACACACCGACGTAAAGAGCAAGAGTTTATGCTCGAGCAGAAATATCACACTCAAGCACATATGGCAAACAAATAAAATGTAGCATGACAGTTATAAAAAACTGAAGATGTAATGATCCCGTAACGACGTACATTTGACCACACTTGACCTATGCTGACTCTTTATCTTTGAATATTTACTTCCTTTGAAATTGCATAGGAGCCCCAGTAAGAAGGGAGATTCAGAACCTGAGGAAATCTAGTGTGCTTCATACAGTGCTTTCCGCTGCAGAAAGGGCGAAGAGGAAAATAATAATGCCAATCAGCAACCGTGAGACAGACTATGTTTGACCCTACACAACGAGCACGCGTATTGTGCTCACATAGAGGGGCGAGCCTGTATTCCAACCCATACTTCAGTGGACATTTTGCACGACGCTCTGCAGAGCGACGTCGACAACTGGGTCATCCGTTTGTTTAGGGAAATATCGAGTGAGTATCTCTTGACTAGCTATTCACACGAGATACTTACTTGAAACATAGTTTCCTCAGGCCGACGACCGATACGGTTGATGCGACAATACCTCCGACAACATACAGTACTTTCTGTGATGTGTCCAGGTCGGTGAAACTATCCACGATACTCTCCATCGTTTTCTGGGTATGTCACTGAACCCACGCTGTGTTAAACTGGCCGACCTAAATAACATCCACCATGATTATCGGTATTTCAAGATCATGTTGAAAAGGGGCATAAGTGGTAAGGGCCTTGGACTGTCAGTTGGATCGGGTAGATAGACAGTCGTTTTCGCCCTTATTTTCGTTGTGTAGGGTCAAACATAGTCTGTCTCACAGTCCTTCTTTGTCTTTTTCTCTCTATAAAATACTGTAATAGATCAAGGAACAGCTGATTATTCTCACTTGTCGCTGACATAAACTTAAAGGTGCTCGACTGTATATTTTTTTCTGTTCAGAAGACTCCTCGTGTATGATTAACAATATGAGACTGCATTCCGGCTGCTTGTACTAGCCCAGATTTAAGCTGGTTTTATAGAGCTCGCTCACTGACATGCCATGCCGTAGTTAAGCATGAATACACCACTCAGACACATTAAAAAGACTCCGAGCCGACCAGTCATTGTTGTACCCATTAATGCCGAGCGCCAGGCAGGGACCAACAAGTACCATATTTTTAACGCATGTTGGTATGAAGTCTTGAATAAATAGCTGTTATTCATTATAATTATTCTTAAGTCCTCTGCAATTCCATTGGATCATGTTTTGTGGATTCATGGTGCTTCCACTGGTGACATGTCACGTGAACGTGAGAAAGCGTTTGATGAACTCCTATTGGTGTGAGGTGGAGTTGGAGTTTCCTCCATATCCAGAGGGCCAAAGGAGTTATGGACCTCGATGGGGACCTCTGAAGGAGAGGTGGCCTTTGGTTTTGTGTTTGGCAGTTGTTCAAGTTGTTTTAGTCTCTCTAGACTCTTTTTTTCCCTTTTTCTGCGCGCAGTTTCTGTTTCTGGTTTTGGCATTTGTTCTGGTGTTTGTGATTCAGAGGTTTTGACTTTTGGCGTTGGAGATGGAGTTGCTGAGATAGGCTGAGTTGTGTTGAGTTCAGTTGGCTGAGAAGACATGATCCATGTCAGGTCGGTCTGACATGAGATGGTTGCAGTAGTGATTGTAGGACGGGAGACAGCAGAAGAGTAGGTGATGGTTGAAGGGGCTGCAGTTAAACTTGCAACCCTCTTCTTTGCTTCGTGAAAGGAGATATTTACTTTGTGCTTGATCTTTAGTATCTCGGATTCGCGTTTCCACACTGGACAGAACTTGGAAGAGGCCATATGGTTACCACCGCAGTTTGTGCACTTCACTTCCTTAGTACAGTCGTTGCCCTCATGCTTGTCACCACAGCGGTAACAAACAGCAGAGGAACGACAGGACTTGGATCCATGTCCAAACTTTTGGCAGTTGTAGCACCGGAGTGGATTGGGGACATACACCTCCACTCCAATGCTACAATAACCAGCTCTAATCGAGTCAGGAATGTTTGCTCGCGCGAACGTGAAGAGATAGGTGTTCGTTGGTTGAACAACACCGTCCTTTTTGAAGGTGAATCGTTTTACGGCTGTGACGGATTGCTGAGAGAGTTCCTTGACAATTTGTTCTTCAGTCATGTCAGACAGGCATCGAGCTCTGTCCCGCACAATGCCTCTACACGAGTTAAGTGTTTTGTGTGCTGAGAGAGCGACCTTGATATTGACAAATTCTTGTATTTTGAGGAGATTTAGTGATTGTTGTTTCCGGGTACATTCTATCAGAAGAGAGCCAGATCGAAGCTTTGTAACATTGGCAACCTCTCCACAGATACCAACGATACCTTTGGAGATTGCAAAAGGGTTCAATTGCAAAGGTTGCTTGTCACAAGCCTAAATGATCAGGAAACGTGGCCAGTGGTCAGGTCGGAGGGGCGTACTCTCGTCAGACGAGGAGTTGTCAGTATCCATGTGTCTTCGTTTTGAACCTGGGTATTGGGAAGCCATGTCGTTAGTAATGTGGTTCGGCATCCCCTCTCCCCACCCACCGTGGAGTGTCAACAAGGACGATCTTATACTGCAGCGGGTCTCCAAGCTGCAAAGACCAGGGATAAGGGGGTGTTATACTCCAGCGAATTTGACATGAAATGGTGTAGCTGCCTACCAGATTAAAGGTCAGGATGGTTCTGTCCATGACAATCAATTGGAGACGTACAGAAATCGGAGGTCAGCATCACCAGATTGGCCCATGAGCCACCGCCTTCTGTGCATGGGTCTGCGAGGCTAATTTGTTTTGGTAGAATATAAGTTAACATTTTGAACATTGTCAAAAGTGTTATGTAATACCAAATTTTGTATAGACATTCCATGCACAGGGCAAAGCGTGACCAGCCGATTGGTAGAATCGGGCCTATTCTACCACCCGTCTAGGCAAAGTTAGTGTCGAAGTGGTGTGTTGGATTATTGAACACTATTGCCGGTTCCGTCATCCTCAACCACCAGACTCCCTTCCTCTGCCGACACAGGGATGCAACCCAGGGCAAACGGGTTGCCCAATTTGGTCGCCTCTTACAACCAGCAATGGGGTGCTGTGGACCTATTCGACCCCGGGTCCACACGGGGGCAAAGAGCCATTGGCGTTACCCAGCACCCACCACGAGGGGGTTGCTCTTCAAGGGGTGCCTCGTCCACACAGAACGTCCATGGGTTTCAACCTTCATCAAAGGGCAAATTCACTTGGATTTGAGTATAATGGACAGGCAGTGGCGGACACAGTGCATCGAGTTCCTCAACAAGAAGTTGGGAGTGGACCTCAACAGGAACCTGAGTTCTGCTGACAGAGGAGTAGCTCAGGCGATGCAGGTTATGGCGGAGGAACATCTGTACTGGTGAGAAACAGTCAGTTGGTGCCATTTAATTTGTCTGTCCATCGTGGCCATTACGGCAAACATTGATTGCTTGAATAATCCTTGTATATGATAGCGGTGTGTACATGTCGGAACTAGACAATGCAGTGATTAACATCATGCTCATTCTATCCTGTGCTTCGATCCCTTACGCGGGTAACCTAGTGTTGAAAGCGTTTGTTCGAAGACCCGGGTTCGATTCCTTACATGAGTACAATGTGTGAAGCCCATTTTGGTGTCTCCCGTGATATTGCTAACGCCGCGTAAAACCAAATTCACTCACTCACTCACTCACGTAACGGCGTCAAACGAAAATACGTTAATACACGATGTACGATGTTTTGTAACTTTCGACAGGTGTTATGTTTTAGGGGGACACATTACGTCTTTAAGATAAACTTCTGGCAATTTCCATCATAGGTTGCTTGCATGAATGAATAGTGAATGAGTAGTACTGTGGTACTGTGGTTTCAGGTTCCTTGTCCTCTTCCGATGGCAATATGACAACGACAAATCTTTCATGCTGAATGTTTTTAAAATAGGCAAGTTTATGTTTTGGATGTTTCAACGACAAGTAAAAAAGCAAATATGGAGTCAAGGCTTGGGCCGACACATAGAAGAGGAGGGAACAGAAATGTTTAAGAAGGATCTACAATCCCTGTCGGACTTCATAGGTATGCAGAAGTTTCAAGCTGTTGTGAACTGAATTATATACAGAGACGTTAAATATGTTTGAGCAGTGAGGGAAGGTTCCGATGGACCACAATATATACTTGACACTTGTTATATCGAAACCGACAATGGCAATACAGACGATGGGATCTTGATTGCATCATAACTGAAGTTGGAAAATATTGCATGACGTTCCATGACCTCCTCCACATGTGTTGAATAGGATGAAACTGTATCCTGAAATTTGGCACTTGTGGTGTGGTTTGTTATATTTCAGGAGCGATGATACTTTGTTTCATGTGATTTGTTTTGTTTCAATATATTCATCTGGCCACACATGCTGGTTGTTCCAGGGACCAAGAAGTTCCTGATGGGGGACCAGCCCTGTGAGACGGACTGTGCGGTGTTCGGCCAGCTGTCAGAGTTCTACTGGCAGTTCATGGGCACTGGACATAAGGACATCCTCAAGGGCAAGTGACTTTTAAGTTATCATTTCCACTTCACGGTTTTGAACTCCAACCCCCAAACCCCCACCCCCTCCTCTCTCTCTCATCAAACCATGGCTGATGTATAGTTCCTCAATAATCACAAATGGTTGCATCAGTTGTACTTTTAATTTTCGTTTAGAATGACCAGAGAATCCCTGGCACAGAACCAGTTACAAGAACGGTAGCGTAGGATCATTTTGTTGCTTTTAAAGTTATTATTTCTACTTCACAGGTTTAAAAACATTTCTTTTCTCCACCACCACCCCCACCCCCACTCTCATCCTGACTTAATACCATAACATGGTTGATGCATAGTTTCTCTATAATTACCAATAGTTGCGTCAGGTTTCTTTACATATTCGTTCAGAATGACCAGAGATTTCCTGGCTCAGAACCATACATTAAAGAACTCTGTACCAACCTCAAAACATTGCAGGGTACTGTTAACATAGCGTACATAATGTACACCTACCTTTTCCTCATCACAATTACAAAATGTGTTGTATAGGTATGTAAACCGTATCAGTCGATAAACATCAACAGAATCAAGTTTGACAAATATTCCTCCATTATTGTAACTGGCTGTCAATATGTCGTTACATGTATAAAGGGAGTTGTGTATTTCTTTCCGTTAGATTGACATTTTCGATATCAGACTGATTCAAATATACATAAAAACAAAGGCAACACAATTAATCCACCAAACTACATCATTACCTGAAGATTTTAACTTTCAATTCTCAATGTATTTTGACTATGTTTCAGTTCTGTATGAATTTGTTTAATTTGGATAAATTGAAATGATCTAGCTGGTTACATATGAATTACAGTTATCATTTGTTGTTAATTACGTGATGCTTATGTCCTCTCCCTTTTGTTCGTAGACAAATACCCCAACCTGGCCGTCTACTGTGAACGTGTGAAGGAAGTGTTTACAATATCTGTCTTGTGTCCTCAATAAATCAATAGTCCTCGACAGAGTAGGAGAGGAAGTCATCAAACTGAAACTGCTACCCATCCTCTTGTTCTCCCTCAACAGTAAGATAGCCCACATCCCTGCCAGATAGTAGGTGCCTTAGTTCCTTGTGAAATATTAACCTTACACGACTCCTGTTTGGCCTCACAGGAGCAGAATCATAAAGCAGTCATTTTGACATAGGCTGCACTTTCTAATAATTTATGACATGGCGGTATTTATTCCTTTGTGTTCGCCACCGCTATGTATTCCTTTATAACTGTGTTTTAGAACCATGCATGCCATCCATATCAACGACGTCAGAGATGTGTGTTACTTTCTTAATGAAAGAATATTCTGAATTGAATAGCAAGGATGTCTGGAAAACAATCATAAAGTATATCATTTTCCTTGAAGAGAGGTATCAAATATAGAACGTCACTTCGAATGAATTATCCAATCTTGTCTATCCTCAGAAACAAATTCTGTATGGTGTAAATGGGGAAACAGGTGTGAACACTATACCAATAGATCACTGCAAATTAGTGTTCAGGCCAGGTGTTCGTTAAAAGGGTACGAAAAAGTTACTACTTGGTTGTCTTCCTTGTTCCACCATGTGTGATGCACTGGTCCCAGTCGGGCCAGAACATTTCCTGCATACGTTCACAGTAGACGGCCAGGTTGGGGTATTTGTCTACGAATGCCCTGCCAACATCTGTTCGTCCAGCTGTACAATTCTAGCCTGCATGACCCCAAAGAATGATGATTGTTATAAGGTTTGTAAGAGATCCTGGAATGTACAACATTGCATTTCGATCAATCAGTTCGATTGTGCTTATTGAAAGTCTGAAATATCAGACTATTTCACATCAGTTGTTCTAAAGTCATACTTGATCACAGTGTCCAATCGTGTCAACTAACAATTAACTTGACCAAACAATTGCAAACGCTCTCAAACCGTTAACATTTCCGCTTTAGGTACGTAACCAATCTCTAGACTAACTGTTTCATTTTAACCACTATCAAACATACTTTTCTTGCCCTGCAGCTTATATTGCAAATAACAAACAATATTGATTTTAGTCAGAACACCTTTGTGTGTACACATCGCCTTATCAAATTGTTTCAGTAACGCATTATCCTGGTCCAGATGTTTACATTCAGCTTACATCTAGCTATTAGTCTGTGTCACTAACTGATATCAATGGCTATTTCCTCTGCCCAGAAACCACCTTGTTGCAGGTTGACTGTTTGGACAGTATATCACAGGAAGTTTACAACCGGGCACTAGGAAATTAATTGCCTCTGCATCTTAACCCAAGGTGAGAAGATAAACTGTTTCGAATATGATTATATGGAAGAACATGTCAGACTATCTGTGCTTTGAACAATGGAATCATGTCATTGTCATTGTTTTCTAGCATAGAGATTACAGGTAGAATTTGACCCCAGTAATCTGTATGCCTTACGTTGACTACAATACATGTATTTCTGGATCTGTGGTCAGTTTCTGTGGGTTGACCGCGTGTAATTGTGCCTGAAGTACATGGACAGTAGCTCATATTTGTGCATGTACAGACCTCGACTGACATTTGGTCCCAGAAATATATTTTATACTTAATATCCAAATGGAACTCATTACAATGTGTCATTTTCTAGAACTGAGGCAATCAAGACTTGCCAAATCATTCTAAACTCGAGACGGACTCCTATTCAATATATCCTCGAGGGTCTGGTAGACGGACTTGCTCAGACCAACAATCGCTGATTTCAACAAGACAATTCAAAGGGGAGTGTTCAGCAAGCTGTCTTCAGGTATCAGAAGGATTTACGATTTCATCCCCTTCTCACTCTACTGGGTTCCAATTGTCTGCAGGTTCTACGAATTCACTTATTCAAAGATACATCATCTTCTGTATTCCGGTAGGACGGAAGCCCTTGAGACTCAAACATACCGAAATATCATCTATTCCACCCATCCAACAACTTTCCGCCCCTACCCTCGTTTAATATTACCTCTTCTCTACACACAGGACCAACTTAAAACTCGAATGAATGAATCATGAATGAAATAATGAATGAATTAGTATTAGTAAGTATATATATGCAAAACTAATTTTCCTACCTTGATTTCACTGTTATCACACTGAACGGTTTGCAGTGGTTGTCCTCCAGGGCCTCCTTTCACAAAGCACTAAGGTATTCGTAAGTCACTAAGGTAACCTTAGTGCAGTGTTAAAGAATGGTGATCGTAAGTCACTAAGGTAATTTTAGTGCAATGTTAAAGAATGGGGGTTAAGGTTAACCTTAGTAAAGGTTGCTTCGTAAAAGGAGCCCCTGGTCACGCCGTTCCAAACAAGATGGCAGTTACTGTTACCTGGATCTGAATCAGTGTAATGTGTCCGTCGGACGCATCCACATCAAGAGTGAAATCGAGGAATAGTGACAAAACCACTGAATCAATGCATTTCTTACATTACCACACGTGTATATTAAGAATGTTTAACTCTTTCCCAGCCTCCCCAACTCCTCTTCCAAACCTCGGCATGGCCGATTGTGCTCCAGTACCGTTACTCTGCACTATCCGTAGCTGCCAATATAGTTGTGACAAAGTAACAAGCTATTTATGGTTTGCAAAATTGCATGATCCCGATATATAAGCTCACAATAAAGCCGATGATTTACTGTTTTAAACACGTATGCTGACTCAACATCACCGTCGAAGGATCTACCCTAAAGTATGGCTAAATGCCGCTCTCTTCAGCTGGAGATAATCTGGCGTTGCTCAACATGAGAAAGGGTTTGCAGTACTGCTCATTTATGAGATCGATGATAGCGTGGCCGGGAATAGTAATAGGTGAATATCATACTTCATTTTATGTTCTTTTTTCCATCATTTGTGCACGACTAACTAGATAAATCATCAAACACCTTCAAAATGCGAAAAACGATCAAATAGTTATTGAATGACTCGTGACTGCATAATCACTTGCAAATGATTTCCATAATCATAATCTTTGACAAAAGCAATCTCTCTTACCATTCCGACTGCATTATAAGCCTGAGTTGTGTTCCAAAATCTACATATATCTTAAATCTTTCTCCATAATCCCAGCATCAGATCCTTTGCACTTGTTCGCAACAGAAGCATTTCTGTGTCTTTCGCTTTCAGAGTCTACAGTTCGATAAATTCAACATCATGAAAATCCAATCATTATATGTATTTACAGTAGATTTTGTACAATGCCCTGAAAATGCTATGGCGTCATCAACGTAGATCAGGATCATACAGGGTACATACAGAATCTCACCAAAGTGTCTACTGATATCAATTATATCAACACTCGTTGATAAAGGTAAAAATACCCTCGGCAAGCCTCCCATATTTGTAACTTTATCAACTTGTGTTGATGTAGTTGATATCAGTAGACACTTGGGTGAGATTCTCTATGTACCCTGTATAGTATACACTGACAAAATCTACAGAGCATTTCTCAGCCTATGTTTTTAATCAATACTTACACATGTCCTATCACAGCGTCGATGTTTAGCTTTCCTTAGTTAAACTCGAACATATCAGCAGCGGACTTTTAATGTTTTCCTACAGAAAACTAATTGTTGAAGCCTGTATTTTCTCGTCTTGAAGCCGTTTCTATCTAATCTCTTCATGTTCACACCTTGTTTTGACAACAAATCCACAATGAAATTTAATCACTAAAAGTTCAGTTCATTCAGATCAATGAATGAAGTACTGGAAGCAACGGCATATTCAAATCCGCTGATATTCATCTCCAATTTAATTCCTAAATTTTTCAAAGTGTTGCATCAGCGTATTTCGACTAGTACCATAACGGCCATGCTTTTGTGGCGGGTTGCATCCAGGGCACGTAATCCTTTCTTCAAATGCCAGTCATCATCGCTGTTTGGGTCTGTCTGGAGATAGTTTTAAAAAAAATGAAACCACTGTGGAACATAATTTCATGCAATGAAGTTCCACTGTTTCTTTACAGCACACCATGGGGCAGAAAGAACACAGTATGTTTTTTTTGTTGAAGTTCTGAAGTGATAAGTGGCTCTTCTTATTCATA